TTGATTGATTGAACCTTTCATGTGATGCAACAAAAAGGATTGTTTCTAAATGTGATAGGGATATACACAAATGCTACAAAGAGTTTTTATTTTCATTTGGGACAATAACCATGTCTTCCAATTAATTAATTTCAACTAGCCGGAAAATGTGACGACCGTTGCCAATTGCTAGTTGGATCACAGTGGTACGGGAAGCAAAATATCAGGCCAGTGATGTGGTGATGTGCATTGCATATGCCTGATGCAGCCATGTTCAATTATACACAGGGGAGCTTGTTTTTAGGGCCTACTCTCTTGGACTGAACTAATAATTGATCCATAGACTTTCTTCCTGCATATGAGAGCGTGCCTGCCCATGGACACATGGTCTGCACCCATACTGTTGCATCACGTATGAGTAGAAGCTATGCTAAACTGCTAAACAGCAACATACCAGTAGAAAACGCACATGCAGTGTGGAATCGTAGCATCAGCCCGTAACTAAAACGACGTGCTTTACGATGGGAGCCCACTGTATTTCACAGGGAAAAAGTGAAAACACACTGCTTGTGAACTAGTGCAATCTTGAGTTTAGCTAATACATTAATCATCAGAAGCATATTTTTAACAAATTGACCTCCACTGAAGAAAACTCTTTCTTTCACGCCCTACAGATACACTTCTAACATAATTTTTTTTTGTAGAAGATAGAAATACCATCAAATCCGATATACGGGTGAGAGTCATAGTTTCCCCATATTGTGACATTAGGACATCTCTAACGCGGGCCCTCAAACCGCCCGCATCAATCTGAATCGCGTGGTCCGGACGTGCTTTACCATCCAACGCGGGACTGTATCCATTCATGGGCCGGTCCGGATGTTCTTTTTTTCGTAAACCGGAAGCAAACCGATGGAGGGAGGGGGGCTTTTACGGGAGTCCAGACTGTTGTACGCAACCGTCCGACAACTCTAGCCCACCCAAAACCCCTCTTTCCCGCCATAGGGTCAGCGCCGGATTCATGTCGGCCCAGAGCGGACGTGACTACTCACTAGAGCCGACATTCAAGTGGCACTCAGGCTGTGAGTGTTGCCAGCTGCGCACGCCTTCTCTTCGCACTGAAATGACATCTGTCTGCCCATCTACCTTCATTAAACCAACGCGTGTACCGAGGAACCTATTCCGGCGCCCCGAGCGCCACACATATGTCCTTGTGTCGTCCGACATTAATAACCTCGCCGGTTGACGCCTCACATCCACCCGCTATTTAAATGTGGTTAGCGTCAGGCAAGAACCACACCACATCACACCACACCTCCGCTCTCGATCTCCTCCTTGCACCACACCCGTCACGGCCTCGGACTCCAAAGCCCTGTGGGACGACCTCTCCTACAAGAAGAAAGAGCTCTCTCTGGCATTGCAGCCGCCTGGGTGGCCAGGTGAGCCAGCCGGATACATGTTGGTTTGCCGGCAAGCACTTCGGAGCCGGCGACACCGCCGGCACCAGGTCGTCCTCGTCCGTCCAGATGGGTTAATGCCGTATATCGGCAAATCTGCCGCGAGTGATGGCGGCAACACGTCTGGCAGGCGGAGACAAAAGCCATGTTCGTAGAGGTCGACACGATGGCAGAGGAATTTGATTGAGTCATTGATATCAACATCGTCAACTTTGTGTCAGCCACGCTCGCGGCCCCCGGCAACACCGAGGAAAAGTATACCATGGGAGGTCGCCGCCGCTTGTATCCCACAAAGGCCACCACATATGCCTCGCCGACCTACACAGCCAGTGACTTGCCCGCTTAGCAGGGGCGTTGTCCACAACAACAACCGTCTTCACCCGCACCAAAAACCAACCCTGATCCATGCTTCATGGAAGCGGAGGCTACTCTTCCCCTCCCATTGAAGCATATCCCTCAGGGCTCCGGGCGGTCCAACGAGCTTGATGCCGAACATAGGCACGACATGTCATGGGAAACGGGATCCACCATGTCCGGCGATAGACTAGGTTAGAATATGTCCGCTATAGTTTGGTTGAAGTATATGTCCGAAATATAAATGTTTTTGTCCGGTTATATGAAAATCATCCGGTTTGCACAAATTTTGTCCAGTTTGTTGAGATCCGACTTGGAATGTATGCGGTTACGACTGGATGGCCGACTTCTACATCAGTGTCTGCGGACTGCCCCCTGGTATGTGGACGGATGCGGTGTCCAGTTTGGGAGTCAACGTTGGAGATGCCCTTAGATAGGTCTCCAATTGTTCGTTACTTAGGCCCTTCTAGCGGTGGTTGCGGCTATGGTTCTTCCGCCTTCTTACATGGCCACACCGGTCCCTCTGCCTTCTTTTACGGCCACGACGATGGCCAAGGAGGAGGTCGTCGAGGTCGCCAAGGAGGGCAAGTCCATAGAGGAGGTTCGCGACGACGATGATGCTATCCTTGGACCATCCCCACCTGATACAATGCAGTTGAAACCTGGAGTGGTGACCTATGGTCCTCACGAGAAGTACAGGAGGGCTTGACTCGTTTGAGTAATTTATGTCCCCATTGCGTCACTTATGTTAACTTTATGTCATGTTTGTTCGTGTCACTAAATTATATATTTTTTGCTGCTTAACTAAGTATTGTGCACAAGCTTGTGAGGGTCATTGTATTTGAAATGAAGTTTAAACAGTGTTTTGTATGCAAAATGGAGGTGACAAGTAGCAAATAACTTTTTTAGAAATTATTAGGGGATAGGTTAGTTCTCAGCCTCCCAATACACAATTTTTTTGGGAGGCTCTCAATAACTATTTCTTGAGAGATGCTCTTACGCGTCGAGGTTTAGGCAATGTGGGCATTGCTTTGTTGCTTCTTTTTATCATTATGTCTGGTGAGCCATTGCACTTTGTCGAAATATAATGATGAACTGTTTGTGACTTGTTGGGCTTACTGGAGGCCAAAAGCAATAAATTTTGTTCTTAGAAAAAATGAGGCTCAGACAACTTTCGTTCACGTATTGATGATGTCTCTAGATAAATGATACTCCCTTTGTCTCATAATATAAGATCGTTTTTAACATTGATGGACGGAGGGAGTAGTATGTGATGTGGAGCCTATTCCTTATTGTTTGATGAACAGACGCACGATCAGCCCCCCTGCGCATGATTCATGATATGTGCTGTTCATCCTTTACTAGAGCCCTGAGAGTACTCTTTAACCTGAACCGTAACGCCGGATAGCTTACTGTTCTGACGGCTCATTTATACTGCAGGCAGTACAAAAACGCTTTATCAGTTTTGGTTTGGTTGAGATCTTGAGTACAGTAATAAGTGTATTTACTTAGCCCAGCAGGTACTCTTTTCTAAAAAACGATTTGAGTTTTCAAGTCGAGCCCATGCATCCCGCTCGAAGGAACCAACCTCATCTATTTCGAGATTCCCGCCGCCAGCCAAGGGAAGCCCTAGAAAGAAAACAGTAGAAACGGAGATGCCATCCATCCATCCATCAGCGCCGTCGGTCAACATGTGAGTCACCTTCACCCTGGAAAGGAGCCGGAGAGAATCAAATCATCAATGGCTGCACAACCAGCCTGCCTGCCACATCTGCCCTCCCACATGTGCTAGAGAGAGAAAGGGCGTCTTGTGTGCTTGCTTTGTTCACTTGTGCGCGTGGAGAGGGCGAAACCGCGAAAGGTCTCTTCTGCTTTGCAATACTCTAGTCTAGAGAGAGAAAGAGTATTTGTTTCCTGGTGAAATGGTAGGATTTGATTTGAATGCAGCTGCAGTTGGACTGGTCTTTCCCTCTCTCTCTCGTGGGTCCAGATTTCCATGCCACAACAGGCTGAGGCCATGCCATGCCTGCACCATTTCATTGTCTTCTTGTGCTCTATCCACTGCAGGATCTCCCCCCTCCCTCAGCCGAGCAGTACTCCATTGGTACTCCAGGTCTAGGGTTTCCCATAGGCATTGCACCGGACTGGATTAGTGGAGTAGTTTAGCGCCGTGGCCATGGCTAACCCTGGGACATCGTAAAATAAACAGTGAGGGGGCACCACCCAGAGCACATAAAACAAAGGATTAGGCAGGCAGATGCCACTGTTCAATGGCCCACCCAAACCAGCACCAGTATAAATAATCTCTCCAAGCACAGCTCCAGACGAGAATCACGCTTTGCTTTGCCGCATCCAGTGCTGCTGTACATGGTCAAAACTCCTAGCAGGAGCACCAGCAGATGGCTGTGATCTTGAAATTGGACGGACAGGATGGCTTGGGAGTACTGTATTTCTCGCCATGGGAAATGGCGCTGGCCTTTGTGCTGTGTGGCAGTGGCACTGGTAGTACCGGTGCTGCTACTAGGAGACACTAGTAGCTCCACGTTTGCATGCACCTTTTGATGCCACATTTGGTTTCCGGTTTATTTTAGGGGTTGGTGGTCATCTCAAGAGAGGACCCCGAACTGAAGCTGTACTTTCTTGGCACCAATGGGCCGCTCCTCCTCCTAGTCCTAGGACAAAGATCACGGAGATAGGGAGCATAGTTATTACGCCCATCCATTCAATGGTGCTCGAGTCGGAAAGCTAGGACTTTTTTCAAATCCGGCTCCAGGCCCCCCTCCCATTTTTGGTCCTTGAAGCTTCAGTTCAGCAAGTGCTATGCTCTGAAGAGAGGGGGGAAGAGTATCCACCAGTTTTCCTTCTGTGGTGGTATTGGCATTGGATTCTTCTTGAAGGATACTACCTCGGTATATCAGTAAGTTTCTTTTCTTTTGCCTGAACTGCTTCTTCAAGCTCTCGCTTCCTTTACACGTTTTGGATGGAATCAAGTGTGGAATCTGCAGATTGCTGCAGGTTGCTAGAACAGTGTTTTTTGTGTTGTTTTTTCGAATGAGATGCGACCAAATGCTTTCTCTTTCTGGTTTTTATGAGGAAGAATCTGTTCTTATCATTCCCTTTTCTTTTGAATCTTTGGTAGGGACATGAGGAGCTCCAGATCATGCCGCGCTTTCCAGCAAAACCACCAAGCTTTGTTGTGATTTGGTAGCCATGGAGATGGAGCAGCAGAAGGAAGCCCCGAGCTTCCTTGAGGTGCCCAAGGACATCCCCGTCGCCACCAAGCCCCTCACCATCAGGACCAATGCCGGGTTCAGCAGCAGCTCCGACCGGTCCAACCCCATCTCGCCGGCCATCTCCTTCACCCCGCACCTCTACTCGCCGTCGCCGCCGTCCTCCGCCTTCGTGTCGGCGCTGCAGTCCCCGTACATCTCGCCCCGGGTCCTCGAGCCGCCGGAGCCGCCGGCGCAGCAGCCGCAGCGGCAGCTGCATCAGGAAAGCAAGGCCTCCAGCGTCACCACCACCACGGCGCAGTCGCCGGCGTCCTGCTCCAACGGGTCCCAGTCGGAGGACACCGACGCGCCGAGCGCGTCCCGCACGCCGCCGTCCGAGCGCTACGACTCCAGCGGCATCGACCCGGCCAAGATTTCAGACGCCGGCGGCGGTGGCGGCGGCTGTGGCGGGGCGCCGCCACGCGTGTCCTTCTCGTTCCCCGTGCCGCGGGTGTCCTTCACCAGGGGCCCCGTCGCGTCGCCGTCGTCCAACGCCAAGCTCCGGAGCTGCGACGTGTACATTGGCTACCACAACAACGGCAACCTCGGCAGGTTCTGCAAGTGGCTCAAGGCGGAGCTGGAGCTGCAGGGCATCGCCTCCTTCGTGGCTGACCGGGCGAAGTACTCCGACACCCAGATTCACGAGATTGCTGACCGGATTATTTGCTCCGTGGCGTTCGGCGTTGTGGTGGTCACCATGTCAAGCTTCCTCAACCCCTTCAGCCTCGAGGAGATCAGGTTCTTTGCTCAGAAGAAGAACCTCATCCCTATTCTGTTCGACACCGAGCCGTCGGAGATTGCCGGGCTGTTTGATGGCAAGTTGGAGGACAAGGAAGGGAAGGAAGCATTTGAAGGGTTAATGCGGTGCCATGAGTTCAAGCTCGAGGCAAATGAGACCAATTGGAGAAGCTGTGTGTCAAAGACAGTCGGTCTGCTGCAGTCTAAGCTTGGCCGGAAGAACATTGCTGAGAAGGAGAGTGAGGGGTCTGGAGGCATACCTTTCCCACGTAACCGGCATTTCGTCGGAAGGGAGAAAGAGCTGAGCGAAATCGAGGGGATATTCTTCGGATCCTCGGTAGATATCCAAGAAGTGTTGGATTGCTCAAGGGGTTCCACTACAAATGAAAGATCCAGCGGTGTGTCTGACGGCTTTGCTGATGAGGAGAGTGACACGGTGAGGACATCTAATGCCAAGTACATCAGTTTGGAAATGCGCAAATGCAAGGAACCGACATTGGAGGCCTGGATTGATCCGGTGATTGAGCTGTCATCGGGGAAAGGTAGAAGTCTTCAGAAGCAGAGATCAAAGCACAGAAGGTCAAGGTTCAGGTGCAACAGCAAGGGCTGCGGCGGTGCCAGTGTGGTCTGCATCAATGGCTCCTCGGGTATCGGCAAGACTGAACTGGCATTGGAGTTTGCTTACCGGTATTCACAGCGGTACAAGATGGTGCTGTGGATTGGAGGGGAGGCTCGGTACATGAGGCAGAACATACTCAACTTATCCATGAGTTTGGGATTGGATATCAGTGCTGAGGCTGAGAAGGAGAGGGGTAGGATCAGGAGCTTTGAGGAGCAGGAGATCGATGCATTTCAGAGGGTAAAGCGAGAGCTGTTCCGGGATGTGCCCTACTTGCTTATCATTGACAACCTTGAGAACGAGAGGGATTGGTGGGAAGGCAAGGACCTCCATGACTTCATCCCAAGGAACACCGGAGCGACGAATGTCATTATCACCACACGGTTGCCACGCGTGATGAATCTTGAGCCGATGCAGCTGCCGCAGCTCTCTTACATCGATGCCATGATCTTGATGAAGGGTAAGCTTAAGAATGACTATCCGGCCGACGAAACGGAAGTGCTCAGGAAATTGGACGAGCGGTTGGGCCGGCTGAGCTTTGGTCTGTCGGTCGTGGGTTCCCTGCTTTCTGAGCTCATGATCGCTCCTTCCACTCTGTTTGAGGCTGTTGAGAGAATATCGTTGAACGAGAATTTGTTCCCGCATGATGCCAACGACGACGGCTTCTGCCGTAACAATTCCTTCCTGATAAAGGTCCTGGTCTTCTGTTTTGCCTTGATGGACCGCGCAAAAGGAGGACACCTGACGTCGAAAATGATCATCGCCGGTTCTTGGTTAGCTCCTGCACCCGTGTCGTCGACGCTGTTGGCCGCCACGGCGAGCAAGCTACCGATGAAAGGCAGCATTCACCTCTGGGGTGAATCCCTGAAGACTGCATTTCTATGTGGCACACATTGCTTTCTTGCTCCTAATGGCCGAAAAGCTGAGGTGGAGTCGGCACTCTTGCTTGTTAAGCTCGGGTTGGCAAGAAAGGCGACCCGGCATCCTGGTTGCTGGATCCAGTTCCACCCGATCACACAGCTCTTTGGCAAGATCAGGGGAGGCTTGGCACCGACCACCGCGGCCGTGAATGGTGTAATGAGGGCCGGGAACCCCTCGGCGTACTCAGACCACCTGTGGGCTAGTGCATTCCTTGTGTTTGGCTTCAAGTCTGAGCCACCTGCCGTTCAGCTCAAGGCGGTCGACATGGTGCTCTTCATAAGGAAGACGGCCTTGCCCCTGGCCATCGAGGCCTTCATGACGTTCTCGCGGTGTGGCTCGGCCCTGGAGCTGCTCAAGGTGTGCACCAACATCCTGGAGGAGGTGGAGAAGTCCTACACGTCGCGGATGCAGGACTGGAACCGCGGCTCGCTGTCCTGGAGGAAGAAGCTGCAGCCAAACCACCGCGTCGACGAGTTCATCTGGCAGGAGGTGACACTGCTCAAGGCGACGCTGCTCGAGACGAGGGCCAAGCTGCTGCTCCGCGGTGGGCTGTTCGACACCGGAGAGGAGCTGTGCCGGACCTGCATCAGCATCCGGACAGTGATGCTCGGGCACGGCGACGCCCAGACGGTGGCCGCTCAGGAGACGCTGGCGAAGCTGGTCAGGTACAGGAGTAAGGTATGAGGTGATATCCAAAACCCTGGTGAGCTGCTCTGATGTGCAGGTGCAGCCCTTTGTTGCTGCCCTGCTAGAAGGGTTTCCGGAGATTTTCATGTGTCACGGTTTCTGAATGCCAGCCACAGTTTTTTCAGTGATCTGTGCAATAGCCAAGCTTGGTGATGATGCCACGTGTAACCTGAGTTGTTATGTACAGTGCTACAGTTCAGTTGGCAGTTGCTATTTGAAATACTTGTGTTATCTTCTTATTACTGTCGAGCTTTCCTAGATTAAACTTTCGCTTTAGATATGAAAAATGTGCTCTTCTTTTCTACTCCCTCCGTCCCATAATATAAGAGCGTTTTTGACACTAGTGTCCTTGACGGAATACTCAATCCATAGTTAGCTTGTTATTATACGGAGCTTGATGACTTGAAGATTTTAGAATAATTGAAAATGTGCTCTCTTATGCTTTCTCTGAAAGGAACTGCACCCATGGTCCAATCTCGTTAGTTTGCATGAACTATGAACACTCTTGTCGGCTGAGATGCAACTTTTGAGGCAAGATTTGTCGGGTAAAAATGGTAACGTCTGATAAGCAGCTTCGAGATCTTTTCCGGTGTGACATTCTACCCAACAATTCCTTTGCTATAAAGCAGTTGTTTGACTGAAGGAAAGCAGTGGCATCTGTTGCCCTCCCCTTTGCTTAAAGTTGAGTGCATTTTGTTTGCGACAGTGACCGCCCACGGTTATATGGATTCGCCACCGAAATCTCTAGTGCTCACACAGGTCAAGCTCTGCTGTTCGATCTTTTGAAGACGAAGAGCACTTGTAGTATCTCATTAGCAGTAGGGAGTACCTTCTTACAGCAGGTTAGTAGTTTAAATTCAGACCATTCGGCGCGCTATATGGGTTATTGTGGTGGGGAGCTGATTACATATCCCATCGGCAAATTTCGGTGCAGCTTTGAACAGAAACATGGAACATAAAGTAGGCCTTGAAAATAAACTTTGAGCTGATTCTATGGATTAAACCGTGTTAAAACCACACTCTTTATTCGTGCATTTAGGACTCTCCAGGGACATGGCCTTGGAAGTGAGTCGGACCCATGCTAAACCCAACGTGATGATCGTTCCATCTTCTCCCCCCAAGTTCTCTATTTCATCCATGCTCTCTCCGTTCTAAGTTTCTTAACAAATAATGTTACCGAGTGTCTAGTGCTGATGACAAATGCACGTGGTAGGTGCCAAATGGTGCGCAGAATCAATGATTGTACAAATGGCTATCTTTTCTTATACTCATCCATATCAACAAGAAGTATCACAAAACATAGTTGTAAATGATGGAAATATGACCTAGAGGCAATAATAAAATGGTTATTATTATATTTTTTTATTCGTGATAAAGGTTTGTTATTCATGCTAGAATTGTATTGATCGGAAACTTAAATACATGTGTGGATACATAAACGAATATCGTGTTTCTAGTAAGCCTCTACTAGACTAGCTCGTTGATCAAAGCTGGTTAAGGTTTCTTAACCATAGACATGTGTTGTCACTTGATAACGAGATCACATCATTAGGAGAATGATGTGATGGATTATACCCATCCATTAGCTTAGCATATGATTGTTCAATTTATTGCTATTGCTTTCTTAATGTCAAATACATATACCTTCGACTATGAGATCATGCAATTCCTGGATACTGGAGGAATAACTTGTGAGCTACCAAACGTCACAACGTAACTAGGTGATCATAAAGATGCCCTACAAGTATCTCCAAAGGTGTCTGTTGAGTTGGCATGGATCAAGATTATGATTTGTCACTCCGTGTATCGGAGAGGTATCTCTGGGCCCTCTTGGTAATACACATCATAATAAGCTTGCAAGCAAAATGACTAAATAGTTAGTTACGAAATGATGTATTACGGAACGAGTAAAGAGGCTTGACGGTAACGAGATTGAACTAGGTATGAAGATACCACGATCGAATCTTGGGCAAGTAACATACCGACACACAAAGGGAATTATGTATGTTGTCATAAGGTTCAACCGATAAAGATCTTCATAAAATATGTAGGAACCAATATGGATATCCAGGTTCCCCTATTGGTTATTGACCGGAGAGGTGTGTCGGTCATGTCTAATAGTTCTCGAACCCGTAGGGTCCACACGCTTAACGTTCGTTGATGGTATAGTGTTATATGAGTTATATGATTTGGTGACCGAATGTTGTTCGGAGTCCCGGATGAGATCACGGACATGACGAGGAGCTCTGAAATGGTCCGGAGGTAAAGATCGATATATAGAACGATGATATTTGGACAACGGAAGAGTTTTGGGAGGTATCGGTAGTCATCGGATCACCGAAAGGGGTTCATATGGGCTTAATGGGCCAAAGGGGGAACGCATCAACCGCCGGCCCTATGGGAAGGAAAGGGGGAGGGTTGGTCCCTCCTGCCTTTCCCTCCTCATGAGATAAAGGAAAGGGGGCGCCACCTCCCCCTGCCTT